GTCTGTGAACCAGTCAGTGTGTCAGTGTGACTGCAGGTCTGTGAACCAGTCAGTGTGTCAGTGTGACTGTCAGCCAGTCAGCAGTGATGCTCACCTGCTTCTTTGATGTGTTTGTAGACATCGTCGCTTCCTGCAGACGAGTATGGAATGTCATCATGGGCGACAAAGTCAATCTGAGAGACAAACAGTGAAGACACAAACACATCTCCGTTCAGAGTGAACAGAAAACCCTAATCGCATCCATCCTTCAGAGGAGTCAGGAAATTCCTGGGGGGACACAGTGGGAGTGGAGTGGGCTGGGGGGATGCGTGTGGGCGGGTGTGGCGTACCCGATGCTTGGCGAGGAACTCTGGCGTGAGGGTCCAGGGGGCGTTGCGCACTACTTCATCGACGTAGCGACAGTGACTGACAGCGTCGTATCGCTCGTCCTCGTTCATCACCGTGAAGCCCTTGAACTTGTGTGTGAGGTCGTCACTGCACACTGAGAGAGAAAGAGAGCGAACGGGACAGCGGGAATGGGGAGGATGAGAGGCAGAGGAATAAAAGGGGCAAGGAGAAGGAAGAGAGATATTAGACAGTAGAAGATCGGGAAGATAAAGCGACAACAATGTGAGATGAAAAGAAAAGGGACACAGAGAAAAAACAGAGCGGGACAGGGAGAGAAAGAGAGAGATGGGGGGCATTACTGTCTTGTACTTTCCTTGAATCCATTTTCACTGCCCCTCCTGGCTAAATCCTATAACGACATCCCCCACCTAACAGAAATAAAAACTCATTGCGCTGCAAAGCATCCACTGAGGCATGACCACACTTATACCACCTCTCAGGATACATGAGTCCCTCCAGCCCATAACACTACAGCACATGCTGTTAATTAGCCAGAATCATGGATCATACCGTCTACATCAATGAAACTGCCCACTGGACAGACGTGGGAGGCATTCTTTGCTTCAAGATCATGGTTTCCCCAATCTGGTACTGGAGAACATCTGTACCTTCTGGCTTTCAGTCCACCTGAGATCTCAGTTGCTGAGGCTGACTGAATGCTTTAACTAAACTCCTGACATTATAACTGCTGGAAGCTCTTAAAAGGCTGAAGATTTGCTTTTACCGAGTAAACACCCCTGTTTGGGTTTCAGAATTTCCCTCAATGAAGCACATTTTTTAATCAAATTTTAAATGAATTTAAGCAACTTGACCCTTGCAGACAGACTTCCTTTTTCCTGACTGAATCAGGAAAAAAAATCAATTCAGTCTTCAACTAGCCTAAATGTTGTTAGACACACACAGAACTGAGACCGTACCAGACCAAGAGACAGTTACAGAGACAAGCCCCTGTGATAAGCCCCTGATCAGTAATAAAAGGCAGACAGAGAGCCTCACCGCCCACGATGAGGTGTGTGTTGGGGAACAGCCCCTTGGCCTGCATCAAAGCTCGTGCATGGCCCGAGTGGAACAGGTCGAAAATCCCATCTGCGTACACCCGCACCGGTCGGTCCACTGGGGAGGCAGAAAGAGACAGGCTTAACAGCACAGCCCAATCCAATACAACACTGAGACAGAGTACAGTGGAAGGCTGCAGCACAGGAAGGCTGCTACATGCCGACAGTCAGCAGCGGCAGGAAACAACTGCAAAAAACAGCAGGCACTCTGAAGCATCTGGTATAAGGTTGGACTCAGGCATTATGCAGGGCCTGATGCAGATGCTCACTCGCAAAGCTGATATTAACACGGAAGAGGACACAGAAGAGAAGTGGGTGAATTAAATAAGCACGGTACATTCTGGCTCTTTCTTTTTGTTATGATGAGGCTCTGAATATCTCCAAATCAGAAGTAAGAAGACATTATACCGGCTCTACCTGCAGGACCAGTCTGGAATGGCAAGCACAGCCAGCTCAGACACCACAAAAGGCCAGATCATGGCATCTACATAGTAACGTGGTTAGATACAGCTTTGTTCTTTCTGACCTCTGACCTAGGGGTAGTCCTGCACACAGTCAGTGTATGGATTCACCCCCCGAATACTCACGTGGGGTTCCTTTCTGTGCTTCCTCCATGCTGACCCGCTGGTACGGGACACGGGACACCTCCAATTCATCCGCAAAGGGGGCTGGATCTGTCAGACCCTGGAACACAGACACACCAGAGCTGTGACACATGCCCTCTGTGGGGCACACAGACACCCCCCAGACAGATCGCGGGCTTGGAAACGAGAACAGAACTGCTACTACAGCAGGGACCATGCAGCTATGGCTATAGGTATATATACACATGTAAATATTACCTGAAACAATAAATTCCAAAATGTTCATTTCTAGATTAGGTCACAATCTCTGGAGAGGTTGCACACAATCCCTGTGCTCGTGTGGCTTTTATCCAGGTACTCCAGTTTGGCTACTCTAAACTTTCCATTTGTTTGTGTCCACCCTATGCTTAAGGGTGTTGTCCAATTCCCGGTCTTCCGGGATACACTGCAGATTCCAACACCCTTACCAGGATTAAGTAGCTTTCTGGTAATGGAAGGATTAATGGATACATTTCAATACAATGTTCAAAATTTACTGCACAAATATTACTACTGCTTGTTTTTTCTTAAACATTGTATAATGTCATAGGGCAGGGTGATGTACTGAAAATCTTAAGTACTTCCTTTTCTCCATTTTGAATATAAATGCCTTTTGAGAAGCTGTTATGTATGAAAGAAAATGTTATCAAAAATAAAACACAGCAACAGCAAAACTGACGAGATAGTATTGCTCACCGGCTGAAACATCAGGAAATCCCATGGAATATACTGTATTGGAATATACTGACATGGAATGTCAGGCTTCTCCAAACTGCAAGGCAGCTTATAGAGGACAGGACGAGAATTATCTGCAGCTCAATCCCATCCCATACTTCTGGGAGGGTCACGTTCAGCAGAGGCTGGGATGAGGATGTCAGGGTAATGCTGAGCTGCAGGTTCCACCACTTTGACACGGGTGCCAGTTACACTGTGAGTTAGACTGAACTTCCTTATCATTGAGAGGGATGATAGGGATGTGACTCGTCCAGCCAGTGAGAGGGCTGGTTCATTCACTGGGAGTTAGCTCATGTTTCAGCCTTTGACCAGGGAGTGTAATAAGGCTGAAGTCGCAGACCTCGAGCCCTGTCCAACCACACTCTTACCACAGTGAATCGCTGCAGTTTCGTTGGCTGCTCTCCCTCCTCGGCCTCCCCGTTTGATCCCTCCTTCCGCCTCTTCCTGGACAGGAGCCTCCCGGAGCCGTGGGCCTCCATCCTTCCCCGAGTCTGGGGGGCACAGAGAGATACAGCTCACACACCGAGACAGACAGAGGCAGGCAGAGGAGCATCAGAGTCTCAGAGGAGCATCACAAACACAGGCTCAATGAAATGAAGCGATTACAAGGGGTTTGGATCCAAGGGTTAAGACTCCTCTGATGTGCCAAAGAAAGACCAACCAGACTTCTCCAAGCACAACAATGGAACGAGAAACGGGGACTAATGTGGAAATTAAAAACGAGTTAGTTTAGGACGGGCAATAATGAATGCTTTTTTAAATCGAGTGGTAGTGTGTGGAACCCAACTCAGCTAGCAGAGCTGGGTCAGTTCTTCCTTAAATTGAAATTCAGAGGTCAATACCAGTCCAAATACCAGAACTGGTACTGACTTGGAATCGAGCAGGATTTCAGAAATGCAAAGAGAGAAGAAGGGTAGAAGTTGTCATTTTAGTGCATGGAATGATAAATCGTATTTCAATTGTACGGAACAACAATCATTTTTGCATGAAACTCCTGCAAGGAATCTCTTCATAAAATCTCAGGAAGGCCTGACCCAGTAGTCAACCCACCTGTGTGGAGCTCACACTGTCAAAACGTGTTGTGACTGAAGAAGAAAGACAAGGAGCCCGAGACGGGCATGTCATGCTGATTAAAAGCAATTTATGACCTTTGGAAGTGAGTCTTTGAGCATGACAACTGTGATATGTGTCAAACTGGGGAAGCTAATAGTCGTCAATTAACTGGAATAGGCTGACTTGCCCTGCAGCTCTGTTCGGAAAGACAAGACAGGTGTTGGTGTGTGACAGCATTCAACTGCAGGCTAAAGAATGTTTCCTCAGGTTGGAGGCATGAAAGGCAGGTGTAGCAAGGAGCGTAACGGACAATACGTCCAAACATGTGATGCGTTTCTCTATGGAAATTCTACCTTGAAGTACTTCAGGCAGAAACTCCCCATTCGCCTGGGAAGGAGGATGTTTGTAATAGATAGCAATGTGTGGGCTGTTGGAATAGGCTCCCCTGGTTTACTGGCTTTTTGAAGGAAACCAGATTCCGAGAGCGAGGGTTAGGATTTGAACTGAAGGATTGCACTTATTATGGATCTTGCCTGCAATAGCTTGACTGAGGATTTGACGGCGGACTAGATGAGGAATGAGGAAACGGAATTAAGACGTTTCCTTAATTTGTGACCATAGGCATTTCTGCTGTAAACATTATTTAAGCTCCACAAAATCAGGGAAGACCTCAGTAGAGCCAAAGGACAGTAGCCAAGTGCGAAACTATCTAGTTCAACAAAACTGAACTACAGCTTCAGCACACACCTCAGAGCAAGTACAGTCACAATCCATATTGTATTTAGACTACAGAAATTAGACAGTTCCCCATTTCCCATTTGAATGCTTGTATTTTTTACTTAACCAGAGCACTTTGTGCAGCAGGAAGAAAATATGCAGTGGAAGTGATCTGCATTTCTACAACTGGAAGAACATAATTTTCACAATCAATAATACTTTTTTATTTCAAACTAAACATTTCTGCCCTAAAGGTAGGACTGTATTTGAAATAAAAGAGCTGTCTATATGCATCGGGGGAATTGAAATTGATTCCATAAATCGGAAAGGAATGGAGCTGCAATTAAAGAACTGGAACTAAGTGGGAACTGAATCCAACTCGAGGTCGAGAGACAATCGAACGTGAGTCCAGTTAGTGAAAGTGGAATAGTGAGAGCCATTGGCTTCCAATTCTACATCAAATCTCTAAAGAAAAAGTAGACTGTTTCTGTGCAGTACCACTAGAGAACACAAGAGAGAGCTGCTTCACAGCTTAAACTAGCATTAGGTTGAACTCGAAACTCAAATGCCATTTATATTTTTAAACCTGAACATGTTGACTGGTCCCATACCAGGGATTCCTCCAAACATGACTCAACAGCCAGACTATCCCTCCCATCGCAGAAACGGAAAATTAAAAGCCAAGAAAACCTGACTAACAAGCATATCTCACAATAGTGGGCAGGTCTTTCAGGCAAAACTTTTCTTAAAATTCTTAAATTTATTTTAAAAGATCTCAGTGCCTCCATAATAGGGCTTGATCAAGTAATTCAGAAATCTGGGAAATCCAGTGCACGTCTCAAGACCAACACCTGACGAGGTACCACGCATGCTACAGCTTATTCTGATGCATTTCAAAACAAAAGAATTGTTTGGTTTTTTTTTAAACTAGTAGTGGACAAAACAGAAAATGCCAAAGTAAAGTCACTTGACATGGGAACTGAGCCAACAGGTGCCGCCACTGTGACCTGTATGCCCTGTGGCACCGACTCTGCCAGCGCCTGGAATTCTGCAGCAAGAATGCGGCACCCTTCCACCCACTTCCACCTGGCAGACAGAGGAGGAAATCACTGCCCATGGTGCTATTCCCAAATATCTCATAAATGCTGGGGTTCAGGTTGGGTGAGTGAGAAGGCCATGACTGCTGGATAAACAGTGTGGGTGGGGGGGGGCAGGGTTTGGTCCCGAAAGACACCCCGAAAAAGACCCTTCTAGGAAGGAAAGAACCGCTGCAACGTGGGGGTGAAGATGAGCGCTCAGCTATAATCAAGCGATTAGCATTGACCTCGTCTTGTGAGGTCAAGAGTGGACCCACACCTCGAGAGGAAATCACCCCCCCCAACATTACAGAACCAGCAGGACCCAGCACAGCTGCACACAGGCTTGTAGAGTTATTGAGGCTGGTGCCTCACATGCACTCATCTGTCTGTCAAGAACATGGGGAAAGATGATCCATCTGACCAGATCACAGTCCTCCACTGCTCGGCAGTCCATTCCCTCACAAGTGGTTTGCAGAAAGCAGCCTGATTCGTGTATCCCGCCCTGTGTGGATCTGGAGTGTTTTTGATTAGACTGGACCTCGGGTTGAAAGTTGAAGTCCACGGATCTGCAGTTCAGCATCTGTTTTGCCTTGCGCTTCAATATCGAGGGATCCTTTCACCCACTGTTGCCCTTTGCTGATGGGGTCTTTCCCTTGGAGTTCCAAACTGACTTCCTCACTGATCCTAGACACTGCTGCTCATCAGATACCAGCAAGTTGAGCTGACTTGGTCACTGAAGTCCCTGAAAAGGTCTTTCCATTACAGCCATGCCGGCTATAATTATAGACAATCATGCCTGTCCAGCATTTTTATGCTACACATGGCCCTAAGCACACCGGGATGATATCTGCTGAATTCAAGCATGAGCAACACCTGTGTGGAAGCCCTTGCTTTCAGCAGACCTGGTGTGGTTTGATCCAAACCCAGGATCTGTTCGTGACAGAACTGTGGAAACAAGTAGAGATACACTGTATTTACTGATGGGAAAAAAGAAACACAACACCTCCTCCTCCACACTCTGACCCTCCAGTCTGCATGGAGTCCATCGCAGCCTCTGTCTGGCCCAAACCAGTCAAGTGTGATGTCCAAGAAGTGTGAGCAGAGGGCCTCTGACAGGTCGCCTTGCTCTAAGGCTCTAAGGCCAGCAGCATAAGAGACTCCCTGTCCTGTCACTGATGCGGGCATTGTGTCTACCGGCAGTTTCAGCAGCAGTACGGGTGGCAGATCTGAAACAATCTCTCAGATGGACCAGTCTGCTGTGTCGGTCCTGCTCTGGTGTGGTCACCGAGGCGACCAGATCTTGGACAGTCACCTGTCCTGCCAGTCTGCTGAAACCTGCTCGGCAGTCTGGACACAGTGGAGCGGCTTACTCCATAGTGTCTGGCAACACTGGCACATGACATTCCTGCAGCATGCCAATGCCCTCTCCCTTGCTCCTGGTAACATGCCAGGCATTGTGGAATGCACAGAATACTGACCAAGTGCGGCCTTTTTCTTGCAGTGACATAAGCTTTGAATTAAGGCCTTTTTAAAGGTGACCTGATCAGGCATTGTTTCAGCAGGACCTCATTGGATAATAGTGCACCTAACAAGCTTTCGTGTGCTTGGCAAGTTGCAATGCCTCACTGCACAAGCTGTATTGCTGGTCACAGGGCTTAAAACAAATTGACAACTTTTTGTGAAAGTACATCAGCTATAACTATAGTATTCTCATTCCAGAAAATGTTGTTTCTTTTTAGCATCAGTATACTTTACCTAGTAAAGAAATTCTGTATAATAAAAGTGGTGAATGTCTAAATATATCATCCTGCTTGTTTCAGTGACTCACACATGGCATATTCTGCAGTCAAAAATATTATTCACGTGAAAACTGGTGACAAAGGGTAACAAAGGAAGAAGTGTAGACCCCATGTATTCCCTGGAACAAGTGAAGAGCCTGCGGTGCTTCAGAAGACACGATGAGAAAACTCATGATCTGATGAGAACTCTGTCCCACACACAGAGATGCGCCATTATTCAACCAGGAGAGTCAGGAATGCACTAGGTGTGCTTCAAGCTTGGACGTCCCTTCAGACCTCAAAAAACACCATCTGAGATGCTATAGTAGCAGTCACAACCAAACTGATGGGACATCTGCACGACGTCCACGGGAAAGAACACCGAGACAAGACAAGTGGGTTCACATCACAAGCCGCCATCAGCAGTTGGAGGTGGAGACTGTGACGGATGAGATGGAACAGCCCGTGCAGTCATCAATGCCAAGGGTGGAGTATGAGGTCCTGACCTTGGATTTAAGTCCACCATGTTTTGTGGAAGACTGGGGTGTTTGCACTGGTGACTTTGTTCCTTTGTGCGACTACAAAGTGTAGTGCTTTCTCTTCCACTGCACTGGCATGAGGGCTGTGGCAGCAAATATTAACCTTCGGACTTCCTTCTCTGCCCCTGCCTCTGTGTCTCTCTGGAATACTCTAGATAACCCTGTGGCTCCCTTGTTCCAGCAGGCGAAATGGAATGACTCCAAAACCGAACCAAACTTCATTCAGTCTTTAACCAATTCTCGTCAGAAATCAGTGGAAGAAGAGACTTGTGGTTGCAGGGCTGCACAAAATACACCCACCCGTGGCCACCCCGAAAAAAGCCAGACATACAGTACGAGACAAGAGACTGAACTGCCTCCTCTTCTGCCAGCTGGGGTCGTTTCACCAGCAGTTAGTTCCTCTGCTCCTGCGGTGCAGTGGACTACATTCGCCCGGAAAAGGCTATCAACCAAACGAAATATAAAAGGGGAAGTTAAATGGCAATTGCTAAACGAATGGTGTGGACAGTCATGTGCAATATTAACTGCACATCCTTTAAAACACAGCACACACCAGTACATACAGTACGTACAGTAATCGAATAAGAACATCAGCTGCTAACTACACGGAGTCCAAAGGTCTGACTCCGTCAGCACCGGAATCTCAGTTGTGTGCTACTGACTTTACACCGGATTAATTATTCCTCGACCGGCCGGGCAACACAAAAACGCTGATAAAGTCTCCCTGGACACGGTTTAAACCCTACAATCTGCGCTGCTGCGCTACAGCTTCCTAAAACGCAGAAAAATCACACTGCACACACCACAGTAAACCATGATATTGTCACTATGCTGTCGGCTGCGTGTCCTTAGCGCTCCTGCTATACTGTAGATCGACATACAGGGCAGACTGGTGCAACATGTAACAGTCGAGACAAGTCCACGTTTGCTACGCCGCCCCTTTCTTTAGAAATAAATAAAACAAACCGTTCTCACTTGCGAACTGTACTGCACATACAGAGTGAAATGCCTGGATCGCCTTTTTGTTTCCTGTTGTCCTTTTACATAGACTCGAAACGGGACTGACACCTCCCTCGCCGGGCTGGCGGGCGGTCTGGCTGTTGCCTGCTGGCTCCTGTCACCCACTGATCACAGCCCCCCGCCCTCCTGGAGCAATCTACCGGCCCATGCAGGTGGCAATCCACAAACCCTCCGTGTTCTCAACAAGTGCCAGTAGGGAGACGGAAAAGTAATTGAACTCACTAACCTGTGTCCTGTCTGGCTGTATCGATCCGCCTCTCCCGGGACTGAAGTCCTGTTCACTCCTGGTGTCCGTGTGTCCACACTGCCCGGAGAGGCTGTCAGTCTCGGCGGTGCTGCGTGCGTGTCCTCTGATATTTAGGGGAGCCCCTAAATATTCGGGGAGTGTTGATCTCACTAACAAACTCGGGTTTACAATATAATTTATACAAAGGCACAGCACCACAGCTGGCCTGACAGTTACACAGGAAACTACAGCCAACCTACAGCCTCTGCGGATGTGACGTATGTCAATCAGAGAGACTTCCTCCAGCAGCGCACGGAACACCTGCTGCCACCTGCCGGCCAGAGGGCCACATAACTGCGAATATTGAAAGGCTTACAGCATGTTCTCCGATACGCTGGACACGTGAACTGAAATTCAAAATATGGTTTATTATGCACCAAGTGCTTTGGGCGTAGGCATAGAGGACGGTGTCACAAGACCCAATGGAGTAATGGCACCTCTCCCTGCACACAACACCACAGAGACAGTCGATGAGACAGTCAAGATTACAAACCCAGATCTTCAGATCAAAGCTTCTCATGAACGTGGACTTGAAGAGCAGTGAGACAGTTTTACCATGAGATCTGTTTTACTGTACAGCTTCACAATTCTATACAAACAGTGTTAAATTTACAAAAACAAATATTGCAATACAGGGTAGAACACAAAAATAATGAGGATGAGACCACACAATGTGGAGTATTCTGACTGTCAGGTTAAACAGTACTTTGTAACTGCATGCTGACAAGCCGCACAGTTAGGATGTACAGTTTCCACAGTGCTCTGAGGTCGTCTGCAGTCTGGTGTCTGCGGCTATCCTCGCTCTGCTGTCTTGTCAGTAATAGAAGCAGCCAAATACAGCAGCCACACAGAACAGGCTGTCCTGAGAGGAGACAGAGAGGGGACATCAAAGCCATCGGTTAAATAATGATTACAGTTTACTATGGTACACCACGGTAGCACAGAGTGAAGTCCAGCTTTCAGCAATGGGGAAGAATCTGGACAGATAGATCTGAGCATTCCCCGAGTTAGGCACATCAAAACAAATCCATACTATATGCAGGGCCAAGCAGTAATTACTGTTCCCCAGACAGTACCACACATAGGATCATCCAGGTGGATGCTGCACATTGGTGGTGGTGGAGGGAAGTCCCCATTACCTGTTAAGCGCTTTGAGTGGAGTGTCCAGAAAAGCGCTATATAAATGTAAGCAATTATTATTATTATTATTATTATTATTATTATAGGAGTCATTGCAATAAAATCCACATAAGCTTTAATTATTGTTATATCTCAACTCACTGAAAGAACTCACATTCATGAAGACATCTTGGGCATAGCTGTCTGTGTCTTCATCCCAGAAGCAGCGTGCAGCCATCCTGCCATGCAAGCCAGGCAAGACAAAACTGAGCGCTCCGTACAGAATCACCGCTGGGGGGTCATTTCATTCACTTCACCTTTCATGAAAATTCAAATGTCCTACTTAAATTGCCATTAAATGACTATTTAATCTATTACAATGAGGCCACAATGACAAAAGTGTCATTGTTACTTTTCTTTCACTGTTCGCTGTCTTGCTACTATTCCACTCAATATGCTTGTATGAACTGTCATTCTGTTCCCAAGCTACTGCCATTGTTTGGGCAGCCAGCTGCCTCGAGCCCTACAGCTTTCTCCCTGGTGCACTGCACAGATTTGCAGGTGAGTGGTGTGGAAGAGGCAGGGGTGCCTTTACAGTGTTTCTCGCGTTTGAAGACAGACAGTCCTTGGCTCGGAGTGAAGACAGGTTAGGTAAGTCACTCACTTGACACCCTCTCCTCGCTGCTCTCCAATCACCACCTGTACCACCAGCTTGTACCTGTCGAAGCCCATCTCTGTGCAAGACAAGACACACACACACCTCTCTCTAGTTACGAAGTGCGTGGAAGGGTAACATGATACAAATTTACAATGCATCTTTTTAAAGATATTAACAAAATTGAAATGAGAGCACCCAAGAGCCGTATTCATTAATTGGGACTTTGGGGTAAATCCCACGTTGTCACAGCCTGGAACACGTTAAAAGATGCAAAAAGCCTACTCAATTATTAAATTACAATAACATTGTGATAATATATTGATCAAGGAGAAGAATGACCTGAGGAGTTGCTGGGCTTAAAAGAATGTTCTAATTCAACAGGGCAAAACAATGGGCTGTTTTTAGTTTTAAACAGGGAACACTATGAGGGAATCAGATATTAGTATTCAACTTTTTCCAAGGCTCCAAAGCGCCAAGGCAATAGAAAGGACTTTTTCCAACAGTAAAACACAAACCAGAGCACAGAGTGGTAACTAAGAGTAAGAGCACTTGGAAGTGAGATTAGAAGGCACCATTCTACCAAAGGTTTCTGGGAGTCTGGAACAAGCTACCCAGCCATGATTCAAGGACAGTTATAAACTGGAGAAAATTCATTCCTAGAGAAGGACAGGTGTTATGTAAGAAAAGACTATTATAAAGGAGAGAGGTGTATTTTACTTTAATTATTTTAGTTTTCTAGTATCCAGTCGGCTGTCCACTTGCCCCGGACACAATACAGTACAATACAAGAGTGAAGGCCAAACATTTCCAGAGCCTCAATCCCAGTATGAACTGGAATGTCCAAAGTAAAAGGGAGATTTGTTGTATACAGAATTCGACCAAGCACAAGGGCTATGAGAAACCTTCTTTCTCTTCCCCTGCAGTAGGATCCACAGCCATTCACACTCGCCTTGTAAAAACAAACAGGCAAATCACATTACAACACAGTAAAATCTCCTACATTTTTAAACACCAAAGCGCACAAACTGAGAGGATATAAATCTCGATGTATTGACTGACCGAGATATCAGACAGCTTCAAAATCCATCAGATTTCAAATCAGACATTATAGAATAGCACTGTTAAAGGAATTAAATGAAGACAAATATAAATATGGTTTCAATTAATTAACAGATTAATAAAAAGGTTCATTGATCTATCCAGCTTCGGCTTCCAAATGAGATCGCAGCATTTCAAGGCAGGGTGCTGACCTTTGACCCTGTCCTTGATGGAGTCCGACAGGGAGCGGGTGAGCACGGGCACCTCCTCAGGGTCGAACTGCCGGCTCGCCAGCTCCGCCTTCAGGACCTGATGGATACACTCCTTCACCACTCCCGGCTTCAACCTGACAGCCAGAGACACCATCAGAGGATTCACAGAGTGAAACACACAGAAACACATGCAGGGAATCGAGTCATTGAAACAGCAAACACAGATGCAGAGTGCATTGATCCCTGTTTACGTCCACTGTAAAAGCTACAAAATTTTATTCTAAATTATATGGAAAAAACTTGTTGTTTCTGCCACAGGGATCGCAACAAAGATTTTGAATTCAGTGCTGGTCTATTTTCATCATTATTATTATTAACAATAATAATATTGACATATGTAGCTGATATCCTTATGCAGACAAGCAATACAAGGGAAAAACAATTGACTAAATATGCTGTTTTTTTTTGTTATTTTTCATTTGGACTGTTATCAACGTATATGTGCTGTACATGTTTAAAAAATATTTCTGAAGTACATCAGTAATTTTGCAACTTCTGGAAGACTGTATAGAAATATTTTAACTGGAACTATTATTTTCATGTAGACTGTGTTTTTTAAATCAATCGTAAAGAACATCCTGTGGATCCCAGCATGGTCTGTACCTTTTATTCACAAAAGAAAACAATCTTGCTGTTACTCACACAACACTGGAAGACAACAATAACAATATTTAACAATGTACCTTGGCAAAACAAGATTGCAATCGTAGTTTCATCAGTTTCCCTCTTTTGCTACACACACACACTAAAATGCACATGAGCACACTAATTCCTGTCACTCGGAGGCAAAAATAATAGCACCTTCACAACCCTGAACAACACCTAGACAACCCTTCATGAAAGTTTATCATGGTATATACAGTTTTCCAGGGCTTTTACGGCGATTTTGCGCATTCGTTGCCGCGTTTCCTACTTAACTTTAACACGAAAACTCCTTTTAAATTTGCGGAGTATCCTGTTTCAAGCAACAAACCAGCCTGGCAGCTGCACACATAACGTTGATTTGCCTTACTTGTGTTGGTAGTTGGGTCGGATGATGTAGGAATTCTCCACGGCCTCTGCAACATCACCACTCGCCATCGCAAACCCAGCAACCTGGCGGTACAACGTTTAATTAAAAACGTGTGTTAATAAATTAGGGGATATCTATGATCATCTAAAGTCCGACTACTCCATCGCGAACTGAATTCACTACACGCAGAAGCAACTGCCGTTGTCATAACAACAAGGTTTCCTCATCCGGGGATGTGATTGTGAAGCTTCCCTGTACCGAGTCATGTGATAAGGGTGACTGTGATCGTGTCTCTGTAGTCTGTTTCTACGCGCTTTTTATGGTTAAAGTGCGTTTGGTTTTATCTCTAATGTATAGCCTTTTTATATTGTGACTAGCGGTTGGCTCTCGTTTGTTTCTCATCTATTTACATATTTAATCAAGATAACAAAGATGTTTAAAACCACAAAATATAGTTAGGTTTTAATAATATGGATGAAAAACAGGCGACATGCGTAATTATTTCTGATAAGATCAAGGGTTTAGATTTTAGTAACAGGGAACGACTTTGAACATTTTTTTAAATTATTTCTAAAACACAAAGTTTAGAAAAACACGGAGGCACTGTGGATGAAATATGACGCATCTAGCGCAGTTGTTGATACTCGTATTGATTTATCGTCATACTTGGATCAAGCAGAGGCGGAAAGGTTAAACTATGAAGATGGTTACAGTTTGATAAATATTTTTCACACCTTGTTAAGCTTAACGAGTCAAACGCAAATGTTATCTGTCCTCTAGCTTTAAAAACACCTAGATGTGTCCCCGAAACTTGAACATCGGCTGATTGCAGACACTAGATATGAAATGAGTGAAGTGCAGGTAAATTCCAACAAAGGTTTTGTTTTGTTTTATTATCAAGAAAATCTGTACAATAAATCTTTCCATTCGCTTCCCAATCAATTCATCCAAACCAGGGTCAAAGACGAACTTGAGCCATCAGACAGACACAGCTGAAGTCTTGCACACACTCATGTGAACATAGAGTACGAACTACACACGGATAGCACAACCAAGAATTAAACCCCAGCACTGCGAGACAGCAATGTTAACGACTGCACCACCATGTCCCGTCCCCCCAGTAAATCTAAATTAAGTTAAAACAAAATATTGTAACATAGACATGCCCACATGGGTTCTGAAGACTGAATAGTTGGAATCCAGCAGTACTCAATAGGTCCAGTGCAAAATGCCACTTTTAGACACCATGTCTGAACCGTGTGAGGAAGCTGGAGCACCTGGGAAAACCAAGGCAAATGCATGGAGGATTTCAAAATCCACACAGAAGGCAGTCCAGGCTGCAATCAAACCCAGGAACATGTTGTGAGTTGTGAACCATTAATATTAATGCTAGTAATTCATTGTAACTCTTTCATCCCAAGAGATCCCAAAGCGGATCCAAAAGCACCTTGCACACAGGCGAGGACCCACATTATCTCCCACTGATGGGCGGCAATCACTGGGGCCATGTGTGGCAGCAGTCCTGTGCCACCAGGTGCTGTATACAGCAGAGGGGGTGAAGTGAGCAAGTGAACTCCAAGGAGAACTGTTTGGAGCCCAGGCTATGCAAGCCCAGAGTGGAATTTAACTTGAAGGCTAGGGTTCAAACTTATGCTCTTTTAAAAGTGCCATGGGACATCTCATAATCCAATAGCAGGGACCTTGGTTTAAAGTCTCATCTGAAGGATGTACCACCTCCAGCAATCATACCGGGGAAATTCTCATCTGGTGGGAAGAGTGCCACCTACTGGCTCACCACCAATCCTGTTCGGTACTGCAATACTACTGTGCACAACAAAAATGGACTTCAAGTGAATCGGTGAGATTCACACAATCTGCTATCTCAATGAAACCCAATCCATTTTTCAGGATCCCAACCATCCTGGCCACAAACTGTCCCCCCTTCACCTTCCTGCCCCTTCTGGCAAGCAGTGCCACACTATTAAAGCACAGACCACTAGACTCAAGAACAGCTTCTATCCCACTGCAGTATACATCCTTAAAAGCTAACTGCAATGCCTCAGAACTCAATGCACCTCTGCACTATGCACTTTTTGCATGGACTACCATGTGTTTTGTTTTGTTTTGTTTTTTCATTACGACATATTTATTGTTCTCTACGACACATTTACAGTATTGCTCTGGTTGTTATTTTTTATTATGTTTGTAATGTACTGTCTACATTGTGTGGTGTTGTCTGCCGTGCTGTGCATGTCCTGAGTGATAATAAGGATTCCGATATACATGTACATTTGGCAATAAGATTTTCTCTCCACATTACTCCTGGTTTTCTTTCGAGGTCTCTTGGTCGAGGTCTGACAAGGTTCAGCCTTCCTGTACCTACTAAGATCTGACAAGATCACGCTACCGGGTGGTAACTGCTGTCACAGCACAGGCTAGAGCACTAGAGTACCTGGTAAAAGTAAGACTCGTTCTTTTGTGTCCTATTTTACCAAATTTAGCATATCCATTTTTTTAACATTTTATTTAAAACATCAATGCTGAATCTCAAAACTTTGAAGGGTAAGAAGACTTTGAAGGGTAAGATAAGTAATGGTAAATGTCAACAAAAACCTGAGAGAACAACTGAAATGTGTTGATTGCATACTGTAAGTATTCAGATCTCAATATTTGGTGGAAGCACCTCTGGCAGTAATTCCCAAGTCAAAATTCTTCTTGGCAGATTTGCTCAAGCTCTCTCAAGTTGCTTAGGGAATCACTCTCCATTCTGATACTAAGACACTCCATTCTCTCCCTAATACTGATTACTGAAGTACTTAATACTAATTACTGAAGTATTAATACTAACACTCCTTTCTCACCTTAACACTGACACTGAGTCACTCCATTCGTCCCCTACTACTGACAGTGAGACACTCCATTTTCTCTTTAATACTGCCACTGAAAAAGTATGTTCTCACCTTGGTACTGACACTGACACACTCTGTTTTCTCTTTCCAAAGCCCTGTAAACTATAGTGTACATTTCCGAACTGATGCCTCTGCCCCTAATTTGCATTTCAGCTTGGACTTCAGTCATAGCTGAACACTCTGGAAATTTTGCGACAGCAAATAGCTGCTGAGCTTAGCAGGATCTGTGCTCACCCCACCCCTCCCCTTCCTTCATCTGTGTAACAAACTGATTGATAAATGCATTATTTACCCACACATATGATCGGTGTTTTGATCCTGTGAGATAAGGTTGTTGTGTTTGAGCTGTAGAGCAAACACAGAGAGCAGCCGGCTGCCATTGGAGAACACTGTTACCTGTTCTTCCACGCACGGCGCAGATGATCAAGCCCGCAGGCTTTCCTCTTTCCAGTCACAAACATCAGCATGTTGCGCACGGAGCTGCTCCCCTTCAAAGGTAAAATGCCTACTCAGTGGAAAAGAAAATCATCTTCAATCCTTGCATGTCGGTTTCCACAACTCAGAATAACACATTTCAAGTATGCAAAACAGGATATGTCAGCACATGTGGGGACAGATAATTATTAATAAAATTTTCCTTTAGTGAAACAGTACAGGCCAGTAGAGATGCTTCAGTGCCCTCTGTTCAAGACGAAAGAGATTCTGCTCCTTTCTGTAGTTTAAACTCCAGCCACTTCGGCACTTTTCATAAATGTACCATGATTACCATAAAATCACAGATTAATGTCATGGCAACAGTTTAGTTTCATTGTGTAAATCTGCTTAATTTCTACTACAATTAATGTATCATTAGTGGGGAAAGTGATAGTATTTGTTCCTTTTTGTTTCATCAGAAATATTTCTGAAATATATGTATAATTACACAGATGTTATCTGATATTTCCTGCTTTGACCATTGAATGATTAACTATTTAAATTCAATTATAAAGTCTTCTAATGATAATGTATCACTGGGTGAACACCAATCGTTTTCACTGTTTTGGGATATTTAATGTTAGAGTAAAATGCTTGATTCCACAGATATAGTGCTTTGTTTCATGTTTTGACGGAATGGGACTGATGTGTATCACTGATGTGGATGACAAGTTTATTTTTCCCTCATCCACCCACCCATTTTTTAACTGCTTCTTCCAATTCAGGGTCGCGGGGCAGTCAGAGCCTATCACGGTAAGCAGTGAGTGCAGGGCAGGATAAACCCTGTACAGCATGCCAGTCTGTCGCAGGGCAGACACACAAACGCACTCACTCACACCAGGGACAGTTTTTCCAAAAGCCAGTTGGCCTACGGTACCAGTGTGACTTTGGACTGTGGGAGGAAAGCAGAGCAACTGGAGGAAACCCACTCAAAATACAGGGACAACATTCAAGCCCTACTCAGAGAGCACCCCAGTTCCAATCCTGAACAAAGGGCCCCAGCACAGCAAGGCAGTGCTGAGCACTGTGTCACCCTGACACCTTTCTATTATAATTCTCATGAAGGGTATTTGATGCATTCTATGTAGACTACATTAAACAATTTCAGATATGTTGGATCAACTTGGATAAACTAAAATGTCAGTCAATTTAATTACTCTATTATTAGGATAGTTAGAGGCATAAAACACCTAAGAATTGCCATAAATCAGGCTTTTATTCCAAAGTATTTAAATTGGAATAATTACTGGTATCCATCTCAACTGAATTATTACAGAGTAATTACACTGATATTAAAGAAAGGAAAATAAACTCTTAACACGGTTCATTAATCTCCTTTCAGGACAGATTTCCCAGTGTGTGGTAAAATTTAAAGGCAATTTCGCTCGGTTTGTTTACCAGGAGTTTAAGTGAAGTACCAGCTAGGTAATGGCGTCTTCCAGTCGCAGAGCTGGTGTGCAGGCTGCTTGTGCAGACAGAGATGAAAGGAGAGTCACATGTGGCCATGAACAGCACTCCTGGCAGATCTCCACTTCAGTACAGGCTCTCTGTGCCCTGAGGGTTTGCCTGCTCAGTCACTGTTAACTTCACGGATTTGGCGTCAAACACTCGGAACCTCTTGAGAGAGACTTGCGAAACAACATCAGCCCACAAAATGTTTCAACATCTGTTCTCTCTGAAGAAGCTGAGGGCAGAACTGCAATGCCTGGGTCACCTGGCGTCATGTTGTTTTCAGATTTCAAAGGTTTTATCTAAAAAATGATAGGGTAGAGGAAGCAGGGGCGAAGTCTTCGTTTTTCCATTCTGTACTCAGTCTGTACAGACCTCAAGG